GGACAGCTTCACAGTGCAGTGTTCCACCCACTGCACCACCAGGGAGGCCCACAACTTTCTATTTCACACCCCTCACAGAAGAAATCTTCAGGGTGAAGATTCTAAGTATGAAGGATTTTGAAATGTGTACTGGAATGAAGAAGGTTGGGGAAATCCGTTCCAAAATCATCAGGTGACAGCAGCTTCAAATATTAGTAAATCCTGACTTGAGAATTGAAGAAAATTTCCCACTGGGGAAAAAAAAATGGAATGGAAGTTGATACCTGGCACTTGATTCTACAATCCAGAAGAAAGAAAAGGCAAACTTCCTGCAAACATCAGTTTAGGGACTTAAACACACCAGAAGCATCGTTTTTCAACTTCAAGGTGTATGTTTCTACCACCCAGTGGCGATTAAACAAACTGATGAACACTCTTTTAAGTTCAATATTCTTTATTGAAAACCATAACTTATAAGACAAACTATCAGGTCATCCCCAAACGCCGGGTTTTCCTTAAACCTCAGGTTCTCACCATCCCCGGCTGCAGGGGGCCTTTTTGGCCCAGTCAGATAAGGTACTAGCAAGCAGCTAAGAAAAAGGGCCTCACACCGTGGGGCTGAAGATTTAACAACCCTTTGCTTGTTGTTCTTGGTCACAAAAAGAGAAAAATTTATCAGAAAGTATATTAGGCAATAAATTACACGTATCAGCATATTGTAAGTGAACAGCACGGAAAATTATCTGTTTAGAAATTAGTTATTAAACAATTTGGCCCACTTGACAATGGGAGACAATTTATTTTACATGCCTGACAAGCAATCCAGCACAACAATTATAGTAGGTCCTTCTTTTGCCTTCTCTTGAAGCTTCTTGGGAAAGTTTTTTAATGAAGCTATTTGAGTTAAGGAGTTTCTAGGTAGAAAAAGTTCTGATAGTTGAGTAGCAGCCTGTCCCCTGGCTGAAGGCCATGCGAATAAGAAAAGTCTTTTCTTGCTTAGGCTTTAGCTGATAGGGGTGTCCTGGCGGCTATCCACTGTCTTAGGTTATTGTTTAACTGAAACAATGAGTTTTAGTGTAAGGCTTAGTTTTTTATTAACCTTGAAGGTTGCCTTCTTACTGAGAGCACATAGTGGCCAAAAGTCTATGGAAAAAAGGATGCACTGATTGTTTCTGCTTTGTTTCTATGCACATGATATTGTCATCTCAGGGCTTGCTAAAAAAGTATAAAGAACCTGCTGAGTCTCTCGGCAGAAGATACTTGCACCTCATCCAGTGTCAGTGTCTCCTCACTGCCTCATCCCCTTCCCCTCAGTCCTTTTCGCTGCACCTAGACCGTCTTTTCCTTTCAAGGACTTCAGACCCGACATTTTGCTAAAAGCTGGTCTGTGGCAATCCCCCATTCCACACGGCTCCTTAGAGGGAGCAAAGAATAAAGTTTTGCCTTACCCTAAGCCTTAGCCTTCCTTTACCTTGTCAGTAAAATGTTCTCAAGGCATGGTCCTGTTTTGAGAAGGCAGTGGGTGGGGCGTTCTGAGCTCGGGTGCCTGAATGTCTTAGGAGGCCTGTCTTTAGGATAAATGCCAGGTTTGGGATGAGCTAGCCACCCGGATGGTGGAGGCTTCTATTTTCGTAATATTATAATGTTATTTAGATAGCCAAGCACTCCAGGAAGCTTCTAGGGAGCAGGAAATGTCCTCTTGGTCTTGGTCAGTGGGGCAGTGGTTATCAGGTTTATAAAATGTAAATACCAATTTTCATGCACTTCATTATAAATAAGATATATTTCAGTTTAAAAAGTTATAGAAAACATATATCTTTAAAATGTTCAGTGCCAGGGATAAAACCTCACACTGTTCTCCTCATGACTTTGGACTGTCACTGCAAAAACATTGACTTCTCCTAAGAGAAAATTAGAACTTAGAGAAGAAATGGATATTTAATTGCAAGATATTTTGATAGGAGACAGTTATTTCCATTGAGGTGATTTGTTTCTTTTCCTTTTTAACATCACATTTGATTTATAGTTGATAGCACCTTTGAATGCTATTTAGTTATAAAACTGGAAATGCTTAATTCTTGCTTTCTGGCTCCTTTCTTAGGACGTGACTTCCATGACCGTCCTTGGACAACCTGCTGACCATGCTGCAGGCCACTCTTGGCTGGAGCCTGCAGCCTGCATGGGGCAGTCCCGATGCCAGTGCACATGGCGGGGAGCCTAGCGGCAGCTGGCTTTTGCTCTCCTCCCCACCCATGCACCCTGGGCTCTTGAAACAGAAGAGGGTGCTCTCCAGACCACGGACCAGGTATGTATTTCCAATTTGGAATTGTTTGCTTTTGTTAAATCAGTCACTCTTTGGCCGACCTGCAAAAGCTGTTTTCTTCTCAGGGTTTCTGTTTTTGTTCACCTATGAAATGAAGGAGCTGGTCTGACTTAAATCACCTGGAGTGATTTAACCCAAACAAGAAAACAGGTGCTGTAGCAGACAGTGTTCAGGGCTTTGGTTAAAGAATGTCTGTCCCTTAGCTTTTTCATAGAGAGCATGTTTTTCAAAAGCACATGCCTGGTGCAACAAGTTTCATCACCTCTACCTCACTGAGTGGCACTCAAAATACACTAGCTTGGCAACGAGGTGCTGTGAGTATGCTCTGTATCTTGCCCATCCCTCCCCCACCCCTCAAGTCATCCACTCTTTGTGAGAATAAATGAAACCATTGAGAGTTATTATTATTATCAAATGTTTATGAAATAATTTTGACCACAAGATATTGCTAAAAATACATATATAAAATATAAATGTGTATATATAAATATATGTATATAAATATATACAAATATGTGTGTGTATACAGGGAGCCCCGGTACATCGCCATGGGCTACGTGGACGACACGCAGTTCGGGTGGTTAGACAGCGACTCTCCAGGCCAGAGAGTGGAGCCGCGGGCTCCCTGGGCGGGGGAGGCGGTGCAGGAGGAGTGGGACTGGAGGATGAAGATCGTAAGGCAGAACATAGTGTGGTTCCGAGCTCAGCTGCACACCCTGCGCGGCCTCTACAACCAGAGCGAGACCGGTGAGCTGGCGCGGGTCCAGGCCGGGTCAGCACCCCCATCCCCACGGACTGGGGGTCGCTCAGGGTCTCCCCCTCCAGGCTTCTCTGCAACCTGCCCGGGAACAGCCCGCGGGACTTTCACCCTGTTTCATTCTGTTTAGTTTATTCCCAGCAGGAGGTCGGGGTGACCCTGGGGTGACTACGGGGTAACGCGGGGGCTGTGTGTGGGGGGTGGGCGGGGACAGGCTCTCACACCCTCCAGAGGATGTCTGGCTGCGACTTGGGCCCCGACGGGCATCTCCTCCGCGCGTACAGACAGTTCGCCTACAACGGCACCGATTACCTGGCCCTGAACGGGGACCTGCGCTCCTGGACCGCGGTGGACACGGCTGCTCAGATCACCCGGCGCGAGTGGGAGGCCCAGGGTGAGGCAGAGAAATTCAGGAACTTTGAGAAGGGCAAGTACTTGAGGTGGCTGCGCAGATTCCTGGAGCACGGGAAGGAGACTCTGCAGCGCATGGGTAAGAGGGGCCTGGAGGCCTCCCGGTGCCCCCTGCCTGGAGTCACTGCGGGAAATGAGTCCTCTCTCTAGTCCCCAGAGGGGGGCTCCCCTGGGGTTCATGTTCTGCACTAGAGAGACTCCCAGAGACTCCGGCTTCTCCTGAAGGACAGGGAAGGGATCCCGTCTCTCCTGAGAAAGACAGGCAGTCCCTGACATCACACGTCACCGGGTCCTTTTGACCAGGGGCCTGTTTGAGAACCACGAGTTTCTCTCTCAGTCTTGTTTCTGGTCTGAGAACATTTTCAGTTACGTGATTCCTGCTTTTCTGTGTCATTCACCTTCCACCCAGGTCAGGAATAAAAAGTCTGTGTTCCACACCCTCTGCTTCATCCTACCCTGGGCTTTCATCCTCATTCTAGAACTTTCTAAGGAATAGGAGAATCCTACAGATTTTTTTTTTTTTTTTTTTTTTTTTTACAATTTATGCTTCTAGCTGTTACAGGGCAAACCCCGATATAACATGGGGTTTCCTGACTGTGGGTCCCCACCCTTGCGATTAAAGGGGACTTCTTAATGTTAAACTGCAGACACACACAAAAGGTTGATGAAAGGTTTATATACACAGGAAGGGGAATGGGAAATGAATAACTCAGGGAGAAAAAGAGGGAGATAAGTTTGTAAATGCATCCTACGGTGGCGAAAACCTAGCACACCTGGTGGCCAAGCCAGTGACTCCCGGCCACATGACCAGTTAAATACCGAAATGGAGAGCCTAGTTGCTTAACTCCACCCTCAGGTCCTCGCAACCTTCCCTTTGGTGATCATGAAATTTGTATGGAGTTTGCTCAGGGCATCCTTCACCCCTGTCATTCCTGCCACACCGGTTGTCTTGTCCATTGTGAGGATGGTCTCATGAGGATTCCTCAGTGTCCATGGAGGAAACACAAAGTGAGTTTTCTGATTTACCACCTCAGATCCCCCAAGGACACATGTGACCCACCACCCCACCTCTGAGTATGAGGTCACCCTGAGGTGCTGGGCCCTGGGCTTCTACCCTGCGGACATCACCCTGACCTGGCAACGAGATGGGGAGGACCTGATCCAGGAGATAGAGCTGGTGGAGACCAGGCCTGGGGGAGATGGAACCTTCCAGAAGTGGGTGGCTGTGATGGTGCCTTCTGGAGAGGAGCAGAGATACACGTGCCACGTGCAGCATGAGGGGCTGCTGGAGCCCCAAGTCCTGAGATGGGGTGAGGAGAAGGATGTGGGCACTGAGGCTGTTCTCAGGGCCATCAGGAGCCCTTCTGGAGCCCTTCAGAGGGTCAGGATAAGGTCTGGGGCTCAGGGTATGATCTTCCTTTCCCTTCCAGTGCCCCCTCCTCAGTCCTCCATCCCCACCGCGGGCATCATTGCTGGCCTGGTTCTCCTTGGAGCTGTGCTCACTGGAGCTGTGGTGGCTGCAGCTGTGATGTGGAGGAAGAAGCACTCAGGTAGGGAAGGGAGTGGGGGATCTTGTCCACTGGGAGCTTTCATGTCCCAGGGAGAACTTGTCCTGCCTGGTTAATGGGAAGTACCATCCACACACATGTGTGTTGCCCAGAGGGCATTTGGTCCAGTCCCCCCTCACCTCCTGTCTTCATTTTTCCCAGTCCTGACCTGGGTCTTTAGTCCCAGTTCTGAAAACTTCCCTGTTGTGCAGGATTAAAAGATTCCTTTAGGTCTTCTGACCTGACTGCTCCCTGGTCTCACATGATGTTTCTTCCCACAGGAGGACAAGGAGGAAGCTACACTCAGGCCGCAGGTAAGTGTGGACCGGGGTTTGATCCCTGAGTCCCTGGGGACAGTGTAGATGGACTCCATGGGGGAGTCACCCTCATCAGTCCTTCCTGTGGTCTCATCTCTGACCAGGTTCTGTTTTGTTCTCAACCAGGCAGCGACAGTGCCTAGGGCTCTGATGTGTCTCTCAGCCCCTAAGGATCTTTTACAATGAACCTGATGAGGCTTCTGTTGTGCGCACCCTGGACAGCAGTGGGATGGTGTCACTGTTGTTCTTAACTGTGATATTGAGCATTTGTTCATATTTTTATTTTTTTTATGTCTACATAAGTTGCTATGTCTATAAATAATATTAAATAAAATATAAATAAAAAGATTTATTTATTCATGCATAAGAACTGGGGTACAGGCCATATGCACGGGAGGTGATAAGATTCACTAGAGACAGAGCGGGGAACAGAACAGGCAGACTGATGAAATATACTGCTGAGGGGAGCAGCGGGTGAGACAGGAGAGGTCTGCCGCGCCGTGTGGGATTCTTGCCCACCAGCCGGGATGGAACCTGCACTGCAGAGGCTGCGGACAGCTTCACAGTGCTGCGCTCAACCACTAGCGCCACCAGGGGAGGCCCAGAAGTCAATTTTTTTTTTTTGCTATATTTATAACACTGTTTTTGTCCTTATTAAAATTGGGTTATTTCTTGCTGATCATTGAATTTTAAACATTATTTGTAAATTCTTGATACTGTCCTTTATCAGTTTTGTGATATGCAAATGTTTTCCCCCACTCTGTGACCTGAATTCCTTTAATGATGGGAAAACAAGCATTATTGTCCAGACAGAAACATGGATATATTTTTTTAGAAGAGAAAAAATAAATTGCTAATTGGTTTTGAGCAGCTACTGGCTGACTGGGATGTTGGGGGATGGAAGGGAATGACTTACTTATGCGTATCCTTGAGTGTTACTTAAATGTCCTTGCATGAGCATGAAATATGCTTTCAAAAATAAATTTACACTTCATTCCTCAATTTATAAAACTCTTCACACATCATGTCCAAATCACGTGTTAAGACCAGACTGGCACGTGGGTTACAAGTGAGGGACCCGCGCATCATATTCGCACGTCATGGTTTCTCTTGGGTCACTCTGGTGTTGTCCATTCTGTGGGTGTTGGACAAATGTATAATGACCTGTGTCCATCGTGAGAATATCATGCAGAGTATTTTCACTGCCCCTAATGTCTTCTGTGCTCCAAGGAAGCAAAAGCAAAAAGAAACCAATGGAATCACATGAGACTAAAAAGCTTCTACATAGTGAGGGAAACTCATTAAAATGAAAAGACAACATCAAGTTGGAGAAAATATTTGCACATCATCAATCCAAAAAGGACTTACTATCCAAGATCTACAAAGAACTGCAAAACAAGAAAACAACTCTATAAAAATAGGGGCAGAGGAGCTAAATAGATACTTTTGTAAAGACATACAGATGGCCAATAAGTACGTGGATAAATGTTTGTCATGTGCTGTCAGGAAAATGCCAATTAAAACCACAATGAGTTACTACTTTACACCTGTGAGAATGACCCATTGAAGGGTGTGGAGGAAAAGGAAATCTTTCTGGTACATGGTGGGTGGGAATGAAGTCTGGTCCTGTTAGTGGTCAGAATGAGGGTTTCCTCAAACCTGTACACTACATGGGATCTTCATCAGCTGAATAAAGAGAAAACATACTCTAAAGCATAAGACCTTCAATAGAAAAGAACTTTAATAAAATTAGTGTGCAATAGAAAATTAGTGTGCAACAGAGAGAAGAGAAAGAATATAGTTAGAATAGTTCGCAAGTAAAGCACCCAAAGCTACCCGTCCCCTCATGGGTAAATACCCAGTGAAACAGAGTTGGCCCAAAGCAGGCCCACTGGGGCCCGAAAGCCTGCCACAAGGCTAAGGCACCTACTGGTAGAGACCCATGGGACAGGGGAAGGAGGGGCCAGTCTGAAAGGAAAAGAGCAAAATCAAAATCCAAATCAAGATAACAACTGCCATTATCAGCCTCTCACCCAAGTCTTTGTCTCTTTCACATGTCTCTTGCTGTGTCCCCAATTCCCTGGCACAAGTCCAAGCTTGAGGAACAAGCCTGGCTTCTTCTTCACATGTGTTTCTGCTCCATGCGCCTCCTCTAGTCTTTCCTCATTTTACTCCACATCTTCCTCCTCTTCCTTAGCTTCTCATCCTTCTCAGCCCCACGTTTCCTTGGGTGAAGGAACCTGGAACCTCTCTTTTCGATGGGTAGCATAGAAAACAAATGAAGTTTCCTCAAAATATTCAAAATAGACCTTGGTCAAGCATTCCATTCCTTGGTATTTATCCTAAGAAGGTAAAACACTGCAGCACTGGCTATCATAACCAAGCAATGGAGACAACTTAAGTGCCCAATGACAGATGAGGGGATGGAGAACACAAACTGTATACACAATGGAATACTGCTCAGCCATGAAAAAGAAAACTACTGACTTTGCAACAAGGATAGATATGGATGGGATTATGCTAAGTGAAATAAGTTTGAAGGAGAAAGTTAAATACTGGATGATTTCATTCATATGTGGAATATGAAGAAACAAAGCAGGCACAGGTGAAACTAAACCAAAACAAACTCTAGAAATATGACTGTGGAATTGAAGCTATAGGGTGGGACTAAGAGCAGTAAACAAGGTAGGAAGAGGGCCCAGTGGACTATGGTGAAGTCTGTGGGTGCCCTCATGGTAGGCGTGATGTGGTAACAAACATCTGAAGAGGGGTGACCCTGGGCCTCTGAACACATACAGTGTGTAAACCAATGCTAACTCACCTGAATAATACAATGAGGGGAAAAAGAAACGAAAAAAGCAAATTGTGTCCTCCATCAATCACTGACCTCAGGACTTTGCCTTCGTCTCCTCACTGTCATGCAGGGTGAGGGGCTGGTTTCCCACAAGGTCAGAGGCAGGAGGTGTAGGGACTCCTGGGCCTGCTCAGACACCCCTTAGTAGAGATACTGCAGAGAGGGCGGCTCTGAGGGGACCAGAGACAGAGGGTCAGAGTAACCCCAGTGCTGAGGGAGGGTCTGGTTGCCAAAGAGAGGGGAGTGTGTGTGTGTGTGTGTGTGTGTGTGTGTGTGTGTGTGTGTGTGTAAAAGAATGACAGGATACACAACACAAGATGATGGGAAGACAATTAACATCAAGCCCCAGAATAAATGAATTCAAATCGCACAGAATAAAGAGTGTCAGAACAACTCAGTAAATGTGGTTCCATGGAGAAGCAGTTTCTAACCAGGACTGAAAAGGCATTGGACCTGAGGAGGCTGAGGTTTAGAAATATCTCATGGTATCTCATGGTTGGCTTGAGGTGTAAGGAGCTGGGCAGGACCCCTGCTCCAGGCCCCTGCTAGGATGTGGTGGTAACTTCACCCCTGACAGCTCCCTCCCCCAGTCGCCAATGTTCATCTCCAGTCCCCTATGTTCATCTTCTTTGGAGTCACCATAGAAAACCCACAGGCCTCAAAATGAGGTTGTTTCATGAGCTTCAGCTACTTTCTCTCTAGACCAGAGCAGGAGGGAACCACACAGTGGGAGGGAGGAGTGTGTGCCCTGCTGGCCTGGCCCAGGGGCAGGATTAGCCCAGGTCACCCCAGTTCCTGAGCTGAGCCTTTGTCCACAGTCCAGGAATGGAGGGGAGATGGAGCAGGGTCTGTTGCGTCGGGCAACACCACACTGATAAAGAAAAGGGCGTCGTGGAGCAGGCTACATGATGCAGGATGCTGCGGAAGAGGAAGATCCGGGCCGTTTTTATTGCTAGAATAATCATACAGCGTCAGTTACGTGGGGCAGGAGGACGTGGAGGAAAGGGTGGGTGAAATAAGGAACGTCATCTTGGGCTTCAGGGGGACAGGAGTATGCTGACCAGATAATTCTTATCTGCTTGATGACCAAGTGTTGGAATCGAAACCAGACCCCAGACCCTGGACTATGGGCCTAATCTTATCAACAAGGCGGTCCCCTGGTCAGCTTCTGGGCTCCCTTGTCCCACCTCGTGATGCATCGCCTTCCCAGGGTGATCAAGCTTTCTCTCTCGAAAGATTTGAAAGGCACCTTGTAAGGCTTGGCTCCCGTGACTGAGTGACCGGGCAGTTCTGACCTTGTGCAGGAATGCAGAACTGCAGGTAACACAAATGGCACCTGAACAGGCTGCTCAAGTTTAGCGGACCCACCAGGGTCTCCCTCAGCTCCTAGGGGAAGATGTAATGTTAGAGGGGCGAACTGACGTTTCTTATTCTGGGGCTCTCCCGTCTCCCCAGCGTAACCCTCCATGTGCAGCAGGGAGAGGATGTCAGGTCAAACCCAGGCTGCTTCCCCACGCCTCTCCCCACTAGTGTTCAGGATGCATCTGCTTGTACGCATGGCCACACCGGAGGAGAGCACGGAAAGGTAAGCACCATTATGATATTTGCTACCGGGATTGGAGGGAAGTTTTTTTTACTATAAAAGTTCTTTTATTTGGGTTGTTGCTGTAACAAGGCTGTGCCATTAGAAAAAACCTGGGAGAAGGAGAAATAAATAAATAAATAAATAAATCTTAAAAACAAAATTCTTGCCTGCCAGAGAGTATTAGGATTTGAGCTAAAAAGAACTTCAAATTCATTCTTATTTTCTAGATGAGGGTAAATAATGAAAAGACCATCAGGGCCAGTGATGGCAGAACCTGGACACAGCCGGGACCCTGATTCCCTGTCCCTGCTCGTCCCCTCATGCCTGAGGGAGGACAAAGGCTGAGGGTTCCCGGAGAAGAGCTGGACACTCCCCTCCTCCTGCTCGTCTCTGATGGAAAAAGCAGGAACCAAATGGTGAGAAAAGTTCAGGCCACGGGAAGCTGTAAGTCTGTCTCCCATGACCAGTCCTTGCCCCGGGAGGGCTGTGTGCTAGGAGATGTGACCCTAAGGCCGTGAGCCCTGATGACAACATCATCTAGGAGGGGGACCATGTAGCAGAGGGTTCCTGTTTCTCCCCAAACCCTTCAAACCTTCTCACTGAAAGGATGTTGATATAGAGGGAAAATGAGAAATCAAGGTTAAAGCAAAAGGATTCCTGTTTCATGAGTCCTGGGTACTGAGGAGATACAATACATCGTTACTGAAGCAACAGGGAGGATTTCAGGACAGACGCCCTGTGGACACGCACAGGAGCAGGAGGAAGCTCTCCAGGGTGAGG